GTCAACACACCCTTTGGGCAACGCGTCCTGCAACACGTGACTAGTGAACGCGACTTAGGTATAATCGGGCAAGAGAGTCTTGGCCATTCGCTCCAATGTTGGAAAGCAGCGAATGTGGCGAACTTGAACTTTAGGCTTTTGAGGCGAGCTCTCGGCACCTGAATGACTGCTGGTAGCACTGTTGCCTAACTCGTATATTTGCCGCCACATTGAATATGCGGTTCAGACCATGGTTAAAACGAGATATTCGTCTGTTAGAGCATCCCCATAGAGGTGCTACGAAGGCAACACGCGAATTATCCGGTCTCAGCTAGGAATTACGCCTTCCTTTACTCGGTGTGTTCTCCTCAGTATACTGACGGCTTCGCGGAGACCTCATTCTAACCTACCGGTTACTATTTGAGAGCTGACACTGACCCTAACCACTTACGAACAATGCCAAGGCCACCACCTGAAACTAGTAACGCAACATTCCCGTTTGGACAGTAAAAAATATTTTTACTCTGTTAGAATCTGGCCCCACTGAAATGCTCTATAAACAGATGTGATGAACACAACATATATCGCGACATTCGAAACGATGTTAGAGGTTAATCTAAGTGATAGACCCTACATAACAGTATTATGAAATGCGACTTTTAGACTACCGATATTTCGCAATCTGTGGAAAAGTTTTGATTTTGATTTTATTTGCATTTGCCGTCCTGTGAGTCTTGTAAAGCTATTGTTTTTAAGCCCACCATGCATTATTGTACTCTATAACTATTGAACATGTAAGTTGTCTCTCCTGAGTTCGCCAACAAATGTTAACGTGCCACTACTTAAAAGTAACCGCTTAGCATGCACACGTGGGCTATTTTACACAAGAAATTAAGAAGACGAGCGTTGCAAGGTGATACCGGTTCTTGTTACCTGATCACTTGCAAACTCAGAAAACATTTAGGTCACATGAGAGAAGAAGAGGATAGTTTGGACTGAGTCAGGAATTAAAGCACACGGAAACAAACCAATAAATAACCTATATGTGGTAAAAGTCATATAACCCAAGGTAGCTTTAGGACTAGTGTCAGTTGCATCGGTGCACAGAGTGTAGGACGGTTCCGATTAAGGGTCACGGCCTCGGCAAGATTTAGCTGCTTTCACCCTCCAGGGGACTCCACGTTTGAAGTATCTGGGACATAGTTGTAAGTGATCGTTTCTAGTGTGAAGTAAAGTCGCACGGTACACAATTAGTGAACGGATAGACCATGAGTTCGGTTCTTGAAACAACAGAATACATCAGTCAAACGACTTTGAGATGAGTTCAAAGTGTGGAGTACAATAGTTGCAATGTACCTCACACGTCCAGTACAACTGGGGACCCGCTCTGTCCAGCATTCAAACATTCTGTAGCACAAGGAGCACGCGCAGCCGTAGCCTCAGATGAAGTTAGTAAGAGACTGGTGTGAGTTCGATGAATTGTGCGCAAATCTTTAACAGTCAAACAAAATGTATACAGGATTGCTAGTGTTGTGTTGATGACGGAAAGGATACAAAATAAGGCATCAGTAACCGTCGAAGACCGTGCTGCAGTTTTCTAAGGGAGAAACAGGAATGCCCACTGAACTGAATGAAACACTCTCCTGTTTTATCAGAGTGCCTTGGCGCGCCGCGGTGTTTGCTTACACATTCATCTAACTGAGCACTTATAAGAGCAGTGTCGCTCGGTTTGCCAATGTTAAGTCAGCCCGTTTAATTTACCTCGTTAACGAAAGCGCTTAATCTAGGCATTAAGCTTCATAGCACGGATGAGCTGAACCAGCTAGGGCCCAGTGGATAAGTGCGAAGAGGAGGATTAGCGCCTGAATTTTGACAGCAAATACCCTCACACCAACAAGTGATGCACAAACCTGGTGGGACTCTAAAGAAAAGCTTGTCCAATATGTTGTAGCAAGTCGACATAAATATATAAACCCGAACTTATGGAAACGTGAAAAGTTTTGTCTGTTTAGAAAATTTCGTTCTCCCTTGTGGAGGTGGAGTCTGTTACTTAATATGCCTGGCATAGGCTATTGAACAGAACACAGTAACTGAACTGGTTGAAGAAGCCGGCAAAATTCCGATGAGCAGTTTCTGACTTTTGTTAAATACTATCCTCAACTTCGTCGAAATCCGATGAAGTACTCACGCAGCAAAATTCTACTGATTCCAACGCATTTTCCACATATTACAGATCTACGCTGACCGGCTCAGCTACAATACGTCCTCTAGATTTAAACTCCATAAAGCGTGTGTCTAGGAACATCTTGTATTCTGACACCGAATTTGCCTTAACTATATATTTTGGCAATCTGTTCGTAAGTTTCGGTACTCGAGGCTAGAAGCACAGATTCGATACTAACAGCTTATACTTTGTTCGGTGCGTGTTGCTTAGTGCGCGTATGTAGATCGATAGCCTTAACACGAGAAAATTCCCCAGATGAAATCCCTTGTGGGTCATTATGAGGTCAAATCGAAACCGACAGGGTGGGAAGTCCAAATATGATGAACCGGTCTAATCCGTGTAATGGGGGATGCGCCTGATGAATACATGCTTAAGTTGTTTCATTTTTTGCAGCCCGATGTGGGTGCTAAGATAGTAGGCGATAGAGCACAAAATATACCAGCAAGTATATTTTTAGTAAAAATGCTATACCCCTGCAAAACTTGTGTTGCCGTACTAATGTAATTAAGCAAAATCATTCCAACGGTTGTGCCCTATTTTCGAATATTTTGTCATTGTAGTTACTTGTTAGCAAACTACCATCTGGTCGGAATTCTATTTACAATCATCTAGGTTTTCATCCAAGGGTTTCGAAACAAATTGTCCTTTAACTTTCATCTAACAGCTACCCGAATTGCTATTTAACAGAGATCTATTTAGCGTGAAACACATACAATCGTGTGTTGCCGAGAAGTAGAAAAAAGCGCTTTCGGAAAATAGTCTTAGGTTAAAAAAAGTCACTTCTTTGCTTGACGAACAGTGCACGGAAGCGCAAATTCAGTTGCTTGCCTCGAAGTTGCGCCACATGCGCATTGACAGTTGGCTGCCTCGTACTGTCCGATGTGGGTTTTCGTAACTACTTTCACTTTCCACTTTCGCTCCCTAGCCAGTTTAGTGCACCAAGGTGCTTAATACTTGAAGCCGCAGCATGTGGTCTCTTGAAAACAAACGCATGCTATCTGAAGTGAGTACAATGTAAGTTGTTGCAAAAATGTTCGTGTTGCAAAAAAAGCAAGTTCTTCCAATCGTGACTACATGCATCGAATTTCGCTCTGTTTTTAACTTTGCACCGATGAGCGGTTATTGTTCATACAATTCTACAGTTTGGATAGGAATTCAAACGATGTTCATTGATAGGCCGAACACTTCGTGAAACCCATGTGCCACACATTTATAAAACATCATCTATATTTTTACAAATGTAGAGGTGTGTCACGTTGTTGCACTAACGGATTGGAAACAAGTGATAATGGGATACAATATGTAGAGCAATGTGTGGCGCTCTCTGTGTTTTTGTTACAAGCGTAACTAACGTATGTTAGTGGTGAGATTTCGGTTGCTGCTTTGTTTTGTCCATTGCTAACACCACAAAACCAGGCTAGACGGGGCCAAGTGGATGTGACCACAATACTGTATACAAGCATGTCATCTTTCCGTTAATGACTTACAATGCACTCAGTCTGTGTAGCGACAAAGTCTCAAGTAGCCAGATTGCTTTCATTGTACCTCCTTGTTTAACCAGTACTAATCCCCACACAACGGCTTAGTTGTAACCAGGTATGGGTATAACATAATAGTTCTCATGGATATAATCGTTTACTTGAACGTCTGTAAAATACAACAAATCTATAAAGTTGTTTAAACGATGTGTTGATGATATAATATAAGGAACGGATTCCAGGCAAGACATTGCAATTTATAACAAAGAGCTTGATAGTGTGCACCAGAATGTTACTGTGACACGCGAAAATGAGCGTGACAGTTGTCTGCCATACTAAGACCTACTGTTCATACAATGACTAGATAGTTCGATCAGAAGGTCAGTCTAGCGGAAAAATACCTGGATGGGATACTAAATGCATTTTATGTGCTTCTCACAGACACATCACAAGCGTCCTTCAGTCCGAATTTTGTTCCTTCGAGCTCATATGACTTGTAGCACAGATACACTGAAAACAGAGAAAGAACTGTTGTTTTCTGTACTACAATCAAATGGCTATTCGTTTCAGTCGATAAAGCGCATGGGTGACATGCTAAACCGTGAACAAGAGATCACGGTACAAAAGTGATCAATTCTCATTGAGTTTTCTTTTAAAGATTATCGTCTCATGCAACTCACTGCATAGTTAATAACCACCTCAATGAAAATAGGATCGAATGCAACGGAACCAAACTTGCTCGTATCCCCAAGACCACGGCCTAAGTATTCAGTTATGACACCGGTGTTAAAGCTGTGCAAGTCTCATTGCTAATACGAATGCACATGTAGCATTGGGGACAGCTATGTTGGACGCATTGATCGTAATCTAGGTTTCCGAATCCATGAACACATTCCTTGCTATTCATAGCAAGGGTGTTTTAGCAATTATGGTGCAGATGATGAACACCTGTCACGGGGTAAATCCCTTTACATCATTCACAGTCCGCATAGGTAGTCAAAGGAGTCACATACTCAAGCGCCTCGAGGCCACTGTTATCGATCGACAGCGCCCACCACTCTGTCCAAAAACAGGCGACAATTACACTAGGCCTATCGTGGCAGCGTGCAACGCACACATCGGTAAACAGTTAACCGACATTTGATTCCGCGTGACATTATTTCGCATACATTGTTAGTTGCATGTACACGTCCGAAGCGTATGTACGAAACGACGGTGACATCCAACAACCTATGTCTTCTGTTAATTCTCTCTGGAAGCCAACAAGTGCCAGAATTGGAATTGATCAGCACATTTCGCAAATAACACCTTTACACTTCTCACACTGACGTACAAACCAGGCGGGACTCGAAGGATGGATTTGTCCTCTGGACGTAGTCCACCTTGGACGGTTTGGTTGATGCAAGCATGTTGGGGTGTATGGAATAATTCGGTGGACCAATCCCAGCGCTTCGCTTGTCATTGGAACAACAACACTGCGACTCACCCGCAGGTTGGACACGCGCGAAATTGCTGCCACTTTCTTTCTGTGGGTCATAATTTAAGCAGTTGCCTTTAAGTCCGGCCATCGGATGGACTTTGCGTTTTGTCAGAAACTGCTGGCAAAGGGTGCACACACAACCTGACTACCGAAAAGAACGAAATACAGAGTGAGAACCAGCTCATGCATGGCACACAAGACGGTGAATGCAGCAGATCAAACTGGACTCTCCGGAGCGTCTAACACACATAGCAGAAGCGCAAACCGTTCACAGTATCTTAGGCACCGGTGTGAACAGACGTACTAACTGCAACTCAATAAAAATCGAGCAACCACCTAAGCTAAGTAACCTTAGGTGCATAACTTTCTAGGTGATAACGAAATAAGGACTTTAAGACTGGTATACGTGGCACTGCCAGTTCCATTTAAATGTAACGTGACTTCATGTTCTTCGTTGCTGACCTCCCGAGCGCAACGGCTCTCCATGTTCCGAGGCATCAGTAGACTCTGTCAGAGTAAATGGTCATCTCTTTCACTTGCAATTTTCGTCCATTATTCAGTTCAAATCCGAGCAGTCGATTTTCCTCAATGATTAACAGAATGTTGGCTAGCGAGTTGATTATTTTTACGTATGATCCATAATATGGCATTGCTGACTGAAACGTTGTTAATTCCAACTAATTCTTCAGAGGTATTGTAGACAAATAAATACCAAAGCGTTTAAATTGAGCACAAATGAGTGGACAAAGAGTAAGTTGTTTTCGTCACCAGACTTTACTCTCATCGGTTACACCACCGCTACTAAAACATGAAACAAAAACTTACCAATGCCAGCTTATTCCTTCCTGAAATTTTCGTTATCCCCACTTTCCTCTTTCATTCTATACAAGGGTTACTGCAAGTTGCGATATAAACCACAAACACCGTGTCACCTTGTCAACATTTATGCCAAGCGCATCCACACCGGGGATATCAATCATCACGCAACGCCTGTAATTCAAGAAACTCAATACTCATGGATACATAAAAACCAATAGCAGCGAACGTGCCCCAATTACCGCATTATGGAACTGGTTTATTAAACGAAACCGGAAGCAGCGTACTTACCACGCTGTGGCACTTGCTCATCCAAATTGCCCGTGGTCTCTTCGATATTGGCCATTCGTGGCGGCGGTGATAACTGGACAAACCGACTCAACTGAGGCCCAAACGACCACACGTATTGCCGCACCAGCTGCTTGACGTCGATGGATTAGGCTCCATCGGAGCTTGTCGCTTCCTAAGCGACACTTTCTTCTTGTTGTGACAGCCCTTACTAAGTCTGGGTATCGTCATTCTCGATGTGGTCAAGCCATTGGTCGTGATGCACCGCCACTGCTTCCCAACAACTAAAATCAAATTAGTTCGTACTAAACCCGCCATGACCATGTCCTTACAACGCAGCTGCAGTTTGATAACATTCCGCTTCCTTGCAGGCAGATTACCATATAGCAGGCGATTCGGTATCCTCGTCGAATCCATACATCGGAACTGACCTAAACAATATGCTCACGAAGTAACAAACTTTTAATGAAGTCCCCAAAAAGTTACCAAAACTTTACTTTTCGGGTAGCCTACGTGTTCCAATCATAGTGACGGCTGAAAAAGACAATGAGTTATGGTTGTGTTGATGGTGAATGTAAGATCTAAAAGAACTATGATTTTCTGCACCAGAGCATTTCCGTCGCAACTGTGAGTAGGAACTAGGTTGCTGTCGAAGAGTGAGCCATCGTCATACGTTGCAATTCGATCTCGCCCTGTGCAAATAACGCGCATTCCTCGGAAAGCAGCAATATCCGGATGGTCATTTCACGCATTCGGGTTTTCGCTTCGAAACAATGGCGATTTAGCAACCCACCATCGATACGGTGCTCGTGACTGACAACCTAATCAAATCCATTGAAAGCGCAGGGCGTCATGGAAGTTAGGTAACTACTAAAAGGAGTGAGGGCTAAGACGCAGCCTTGTTCAAACCAGACAACATCCAAGTCATCTGAGGTTTGTCTACACAGCTGAACCATCACTGGTTGTGCAAGCAATTAATAAGACCAACAAACTTAATCGGACAACCAAGTTTAATCGAAGCCAGCCACATTGCCTTGCGACTCATTGTGTCAAGTGTCGTGTTGAGATCGATGAACAGAGTGTACAATAGCTGGTTTCGCTCACGACATTCCTACCGCAATTTTACAGGAAGAAAAACCATATATGTGAGGCTGCGGCCCGAACGTTATCCGCGTTGATATCTAGCCACCTTTAGTTCATGGACCTGACTGACGAGACTATTGAGCAGGATTCGAGCTATAACCTTCCTGATGCAACCAAACAAGTTGATTCCACGATAATATTTGGAAAATTGCTGGCTCCATTGGCCTTTGCACATTCGTAGCACAAAGGCATCCTTTAGCTCAGCTGGCACTTTTTCTGCATGCTACACGCGTTTCAGCAAGTAGTACAACGCAGTTAGCAACTTTGGCCAAGCATTCTTCAGCTTTTCTGGCCGTGGTCCATCGACACCGACAAACTTACCGATTGGCCTCTGCATCTTATGTAGTGTCGAGACCTCGGCAAGATCATTCTTCATATTTTCTCATCATCACCTGCAACGTAACTCAATCAACCACTAAATGCTGGTACAAGAGACATTCAAAGGGATTGTACCATACCTGCATAATGTCTACAGTCTGTGTGTAGGCAGCGCTCAATACTGCATCTACCAGCGTTCCCAGCGGCTGCAAAGTGGGTCAATACACTTCCTTCAATTATGAAACTGCTTGTACTTTCGGCGCACGGTGTGGCATTCCATCTGCTCCACTTTCTCCGCCTACCATGCAGTATTGATGCAATGGAGCGTCCGAGCCGAAGGTCAACGCAATTAGCTAAACATATTTTCCAACTCTGAATCGTCACTGTCCCCCTCACGTGTAGCTAAAGCTGCATTCTTATCTGACATCAATAGGTCAATGGTTGCACTGTTATTATCAAACCAAACAGGCCACTTGCAGTTCGTACGCCCCTTTGTTTCCTCGGCTACACTGGTCACCCGTCCACCAGGCGGTGCTATAGGGCACTGACTGAATTAATGGAGTCAATCGCGAATGTGGGTCGTCATCGCATTGTGCAACGCAATCCCCTTCTCAGCATTAGCTAGAGGATAAACATGAAATCTTCCCCAGTTCACGGTAGATGAAAATTATACTGATTTGCAAAAATAAACGTAGAAGTCAGTGCGCACCAGTTTGTGATCAGTTCCACATTCAGCTCCACAAAGTACACGTGTCATTCACATTACACAAATGTCACGCTGTCGTACGATGATATATTCCAGCAGTTGAGCGCGACCGATTTCTGGGTGCGTCACAGTAGCAATACTGTAGTAGAAAGGACGACACAGAAAGGCAAACGCAAAGTGTAGTAAGCTAAGAAAACAGTTAATCCGAACCTAGCTGTATGCCTCGACAAAAAGTCAATCCGAGTCATCAACGATTACGGTCACCAAACACTGAGAAACAAAGACGAACAGTTTCAAGCAACGCACTCAAAGCGAACCGGAGTGAGAAAGCGGAAAGTAATTCGAAGAAGAATGTATCGATTCAGATAATCACAAGAAAATGTACAATAAATAGTGGAAGATAAACAGGGAACTAAATTTGAAAATGTGGAAGTGTGCAGGCTCCACAACATCACTTGCACCCTGTGTCAGCTGAGTGTTCGTGACCGTCAACTCGTGAGTGGCGCACATTGAGAGCATTCGACCTCCATCCCCACTGGCTGTGCCAATACCATACGGCCATAATACATTTGTCCGCACCGCGGCATCCCAACCAACACGCTTGTTGAAGCCACCCAGTAGGAACAGCCGGTCACGCCTCGGCACCGACCGTATCACGGAGGAGAACTGGTGTCATCAGAAAGACATGATGGGGTCACACACGCTGATAAAATTTGCATGTTTACCTCAACCAATTAGCAGGCGACGAGCCAGTAGTCGTGAGACAATACCAGTCGGCTCAGCCACTAGCTGGCCATTTAGGCGGTCTGATAGTGCAAATGCGACCCCATGTTCACGTGCTGCTGTGGTGGCCTTCCACTCCCAGCAGAACGTGTAACCGGCACCAGCATCATACAGGTTACCTTAGCCAGCAAGCCGCGTTTCGCTGAGTGCTGCAATATCAATGTTGTAGCGCGCCAGTTCCTTCTCGACCAGTGTGGTACCTCGCTGTGGCCCAGTGGTTGTCCATCTTTTGGGATTGTAACCCACAAAACGGGCTCACTATAAACAATTACCTCCAGAAATCTTTGTTTAAAAGCAACTTATCTATTACATGTTTCTAAAGTTTTGAACTGAACGCCATATTTAATTACTATTATCATCCAACTAAAGAATACACCTATTTTTGGCTAGCCGAACAACCTCCTCGTGGTGCCAGCTGGGTGGTTCGGGTAAATCCCCTTCCAGCAAATGGTTCGGCGGCAGTGTTCCAGGATGCGGTGGGATTTCGCTTGGCAAGCGTTCTCCCTATAAAAAGCCACAAGTATCAGTTTAACAGCACTGTGACGTGGCGGATGTGACTCGCCACTAAATAAAATCACTGCCTCTTCCCTTTTCCGGAGGATCATTCACACATCACGGACGTCATCTGATTCAAAGCGTTCCATTGATTCCTCCCTTTGATGGCGAACACAACGAACAAAAGCACACACAGTCACATTTACCTACTCACACAACATGTCCCCTTACAAATACACAGTTAAACATAGTTTTACATCTCAACACACGCATAAATTCCTATGCTATTGGTCAAAATGTACTACTTTGTGCAATTGCCGATCATACATGTCTGTAATACCATGATCACGCCCTTGATGGTGTGCCTCGCAGTGACGAGAATAAACTATTTATTTATTTATTTATGATGTACGTTAACGGGAAGCCTGATATTGCTTAGTTCCAACAATGTCTGGTACATCTGGTGCGGTTTCACCTAATGCGTACCAGGTGATTTCAGGAATTTCCTGCAAAATCGGCCACTGTCGGTCACAGTTCGAAGTGCACTGTCCGATCCGATTTACGTCGAATGTGGGGTTCCTCAAAGATCAATTCTGGGGCCGCGTCTGTTTCTCATGTTCATCAATGAGCTTACGCGTCTAATTGCCTAAGATTTCTTGCTGTTCGCTGATGATGTTAAGATGTGGAGGACGATCGCCGAGCCAGAAGACCACGATGCAGTTCAGCGAGACCTGGACAGAGCGTATGCTTGGTCACTCCACAATCTGCTCCAGTTTAATTCGGGAAAGTATAAGGTTGTTCACATTCGCCACCAGCCGAACTTCACATACAAGCTTGGAGAATATGTCCTGCAAGCCGTCACCCAGGAGCGCGACCTTGGGTTACTAGTCCAGGCTGATCTGGGCTGCTCGGAACAAACTGAGAAGGCGTCAAAGACTGGGATCCAACACGTTGGCATGTTGCGCATAGCATTCGGGCGGTTTGATCCCCCTGTCCGTTCGCAGTTACTGAACACATACGTGCGGCCTCATGTGGAATACGCAACCCTGGTCTGGCAGCCTTAGCACAAGAAAGAACTTGCAGTGCTCGAGACTCCATAACAACAGGCCATAAAGCACGTCAAGGGGTTGTTC